CTGGAAATCAAATATTCCTACGTTATAGACTTTTATTCAAAATATTTAGGACCATAAGTACTTCTAATTTCTGAATTCAGAATATTTGCATGTCCATTAAGAAATATCTTGAATATGAGGCCCAAGTCTGTATTTGAAATTCACTTGTGTTTCATAGGTATCTTATACACAGAGACTGAGGATGATTTTTTAAAGATCTTGATACTTTCCTACATTAATTAAGGATTTGTGATATAAAATTCTTTACTTGTAGCTTTATGCTGGTTTTCAAAACAGTTAGAATTTTGGAATTTTGGTTCAAGGGTGTTTAACTTGTAATGTAATCCACCATTTCATTTAGAATTTTAAGCCCCGAACATTTAGTTTGTGCAAAAGTCACTGTCAGTTACACATTGAAAATTAAGATTTGTCACTTTTCTTGTAACTGCCTCAGTATAGAATTTAATGTAAGAAGCTGTCACCTCCCTTTGTGTATTATTAAAGATACGTTCTTTACATAGAAAAAAAAATATTACAAAATAAATTAGAGGAAGTTCATTGGCTTCTACAATAACCAGAATCGCTTGTTGTCTTGCTCCTACAGAAGACAAAACACTGTTTTCAGAAACTGAGTTCAAAATCTAAATTATGCAGTTAAGAGCAATAGGAAATTGGCACCTCAAACAGGAGACTTTACAGACAAATCAGACTGTTCCAAGTTTGATCAAGCTGGTTGTAAATTATATCCACAGCAGCACTGATCTCAGTGATGAAACAAGTTGTGTTTTAAGTGTGGTATCTGAAAACTACTTATATCAGTTTTCCATTCCAAAAGGGAAGTTCCACCCTTCTGCCTCTCCTTCTGTGGCCACCCCTCCCACACGTATCTCCTGGCTCTATGGTTCTAAATAATACTAAACCATGACGAGACCAGTCTTTAGGTTTATGGTGTAGTCTGTCTTTACTGAGATAACCTTGGGATTCTATGTCTTTACTGAGATAACCTTGGGATTCTAGATCCTAAATTAGATTAGTTAAAAGCCCTCAGGGAGTCCCCTCTCACACAGCTTCTTCTGGAAGGACTGCCATCAATGCAGCGATTAAAGTGTTTATTGTTCAAGTTTTTCAAAGTATGAAATTACCTGAGTGTAGAGACTCTAAGGATGAGTCAGTGGGGAGCTAGTCATCATGGGATAGTGTGCTGGATAGCTTTAGTGTCAACTTGACACACCTGGGTTGAGGGAGCCTCAACTGAGGAATTACCTCCATTGGACTGGCCTGTGGCCAGGTCTGAGGGGCATCTTCTTGATGAATGATATGGGAGAGCCCAGCCCACTGTGGATGGTGCCACCCCTGGGCAGGTGGGCCTGTGTTGGATAAGAGAGCAAGCTGAGCAGGGGCCAGGGGAGTAAGTCAGTAAGCTGTGTTCTCCTCCGTGGCCTGTGCTCCAGCTCCTGCTTCCAGGTTCCAGACTTGATTTCCTACCTTGGGCTCCCTAATGAACTGTGACCCAAGAGATGTAAGCTAAATAAAGCCTTTCCTCCCCAAGTTGGTAGTGGTCAGAGTATATTGTCACAGCAATGGAGAAACAAACTAGGACAGAAATTGGTACCAGAGAGTGGGATATTGCTGTGACAGACCTGACCTTGGTGTTTTGGGGAGGACTGTGGAAGTGTTTGGAACTTTGGGCTGGAAAAGTTGTTGCGTGCTCAGAGTTTGTTGCTTTGGAGCTTGGAAAAGTTATACCAAAAGAGTTGTAAACCATGGAGGCCTGGCTTGTGACGCTTCAAAGCGAAGCAGAGACTATCAGGGCTGTTTCTGTGATATTTTGAATTGAGAATCTGTGGGTCTGGTCAGCTGGGGCTGAAGAATCAGCTGTGATTAAGAAGAGACCAGAACCTGAAGTAATACCTTTGCTTTACTGGGACAATTGATGTTGGTTAGCTGGGGCTGAAAAATCAGCTGTAAGTAACAAGATACCAGCATCACTGTGGTGAAGTCTTCTGGGAGGTATTTCCTCAGGGTCAACACACAGAGGGGACCCACACGTCTATTTCAAGCTGGAAGCAGGACTTGGTAATATGTAAGAGTCTCCTGCATGGTTCTGGTGTTGAAAGCATGAAGGGGTCACAGAGAGCAGCTGAGGCTTGACACTCTGAGAGGCCAGGAAAGGCCATAGGTGAAAGTGCAGCTTCAGTTGCAGCAAAGACCCCAGAATTGAAGGGGTCATGGACAGAATTTGAGGCTTTGCACCCCAAGAGGCAAGAAAAGGCCATTGGTGAAGGTATAGCCTCAGTTTCAGTGGAAACCCCGGCTTTTTGGAGATACCGGGACCATGGGACGACCACCAAGGACAGTAGTAGGTGTAGAATGGAACTGCCTGGGTCTGCAAGAAGAGCTGAGTGTGCTGTGGACTGAAGAGTCAGAGCAGTGGAGCTGCCAGAACCCTTTGGAGGCCAGAAGATTGTGAGTGAATCCCAGATGTCCAGCCTCGAGCTACTTCACTGGACTTTGGTTTTATGGGGCCTCTCCCTTTCCTCGTTGGTCGTTGGCCACTGGTCCACAAGGACAAAGGGAGCAGAAGCGACGAACGCTTCTGGTCAGGATGGCCAGTGAGCACAGACAGAAGAAAGCCCTTCCTTGGAGGCAGGTTCAGTGATACAAACAGCTCCAGACTCAGTGAAAGAGCTCTGTTAATTCAGTGGGGGTTAGGGAAAATATAGTGTGGAGGCAGTAGCCAATGCTTCCGCTGATAGGTGCTCACAGTATGCTTTATTTACATGTGGCAGTAGGCTCCTATCATCAGACTATTGGGTAATGCCTAATTATCATATAGAAAAAACCTGGGGGTAGTTTTTACTCCAGGTAACTATGCCAAAGGTCATGTTTTAAATGAGGCCAAGCATCCTTGCTTGGCGGCACTTTCCAGGTAAGTCAGGCAGGAAGCCCCTGCTGAGAAAGGAGCCAACCTTAACAGCGGGGTTCCCCAACAGGTTTTGCTTAGGTGTGCCCAATTCTCTCCTTTGAAATAAGACAGTACTAGTTTTGGATTTTACAGAAGCCCACCCAGAGTTGAGAGACTTTTAAAAGAGACTATGGACTTTCAAGTGTTTGGGTTTTTTTTTAAAGATTGTGGGGTTTTTAAGGTTGTACTGTCTTGTGATATTAATGTTAATATTGTGTCTTGGGGACAAGAATTGTAAAGGTTATGGTTTAATAGTGATGTATTTGTGTGTCAAGTTGACAAGGGGTCAATAGTGCTGGATAGCTTTAGTGTCAACTTGACACACCTGGGTTGAGGAGCCTCAATTGGGGAATTGCCTCCATTGGATTGGCCTGTGGCCCTGTCTGTGGGGCATTTTCTTGATGAGTGATGTGGGAGGGCCCAGCCCACTGTGGGTAGTGCCACCCCTGGGCAGGTGGGCCTGTGTTGGATAAGAGAGCAAGCTGAGTGAGCTGAGCAGGGAGGGGCCAGTGGAGCAAGTCAGTAAGCAGTGATCTTCCATGGCCTGTGCCCCAGCTCCTGCTTCCAGGTTCCAGACCTAGGTTCTTACCTTGGACTCCCTAATGAACTGTGACCCAGGAAATGAAAGATGAATAAAGCCTTTCCTCCCCAAGTTGGTAGTGGTCAGAGTGTATTGTCACAGCAATGGAGAAACAAACTAAGACAGATGGTCTTCCCTGTCCTCTGGGTGCTCCCATCTAGATCTAGATACATCTAGATCCATGTAGTGCCACTGTGCACTTGGTGGTATAAGCAGATGGATGTATGTTTTAATCTTCTCTACCTTTGAGGAAACTTCCCTGAAGAGGATAGAATTCATTGAGAACAACAGACAGAAGTCAGAAGTTACATTCTGCTCCATCCATTCCTTGACTTTTATCCCCCTTTACAGATGTGATTCTCTCTAGAGGTGGTTTGGTGGCTCGCATTTTAATAGGGACCATCAGGATATTTGCAATTAATGCTCCTCTCTGGGCAATGTTGTGTCAAGAAAAATCTTTAAGGTAGCTGTACTGATGGTGCACACCTCTGATCTCAGTACTTGGGAGGTTGAGGCAAGAGGAATGTTGTGAATTCAGGGCCATCCTGGGTTCCAAACCAGCCTGGCTACAACAGCAAGAGCCTATCCCAACTGGGGAAAAGAAAAGAAAGAAAAAACTTTAAGTATCCCTTTTCAGTTTGGTTTGTCTTTTATGTTTTATTTAAAGGTATGACACTGGCATTTGCAGGAATGTATTTATTGGTGAACTTTGCTCCAAACATAACCCAGGCTATCTCAGCAAGAGCAGTACAGTATTACTTTGTTGGCTGGCAGTTCCTGGTCTATGTGGTAAGAATTCTAAACATTTTACTCTTTCAGAGGTATATTAGCTAGACTGATGGCTACAGTGTTAGAAAACTAATGTAACTCTTCTCAGCACAATAGCTTACTACAATGTAAATATATTTGATTAGTAGCAAAGTATTTTAAATACTAAGTCAGCTGTTGAAGCATCTTTCAGAAAAAGTCCTCATTGAGATCAAAGCAGCATATTGACAAAAAGGAGCTGGCAGCAATGCACAGTCTCAAGGGATGCATAGAAGAAAGAATGAGATGAGCTGGTATGGTAGACATGTAAAGCCATTCATCGGGATGTCTTATTTTACACAGTGACTGGATGTGGTAAGTATAAAGAGAGGACATGATTGAAATGGTAGATAACTTGCTACAGAATTCCACTAAGATTGGAGAAAAAAACATTCTAGAAAGGTCAAGGAAAAGAAACTGGAATAGTCTAGTTGAGCAAGAGCTAGGTCAGCAAAATAGTTATAAATTCAACAAAAAGAATTAAAGCCTATAGAATCATACTTTTTGTTGTTGTTGTTGTTGGTCTTTTTGAGACAGGGTCTCCCTGTAGCCCCAGCTGTCCTGGAACTCACTATGTAGACCAGACTGGCCTTGGACTCACAGAGATCCACCTGCCTCTGCCTCCCGAGTGCTGGGATTAAAGGCGTGCTCCACCATGCCCGGCTATAATCATACATTTTTTAAAATTAGAAGTGACTCAAAAAAATATCTGATCTAGTCCACTGCCATTAGAAAAATTGAATGTTCAAACCCTGTATGCCTAGGATTTATAGGGGTGGCATTGGCATTTACAGGTTTTAAAGGTGAGCTTTGCCCCCAGATGTACCTCAGGCTGGTATCTCAGCAGTCTGTGTGACAAGAGTTCTGTGCATCTTACTATCCCTGACATATAATTCTTAGCACTAGAACACAAATATCTACAAATATTCTCTCTTCACTATCTTCCTCTTTATAATTTTCTCTTACCCTGCAAAAATTACTTAATTTCCCTGTGTTTTTTAAATGTTCATATGCTACACATCCTTTAATAAATTTTCCTGTTTCCCTTCAGTTCACTAAAAATGTATTCAGGTAGCCCACTTTTGCTGTCCCACCCACTTTCTCATTACAGTCTAGTAGATCTCTCTCCATTATTGTTCTCTCTCTCTCTCTCTCTCTCTCTCTCTCTCTCTCTCTCTCTCTCTCTCTCTCTCTCTGTTCTTGAACTTTGTGCAGTGTTAGCTCCATGCCCCTCATCTTGAATGTCTTCCTTCCTTGCCTTCCTCATATGTTTTACATTTCTTCTCTCCTTCCATAATTAATCCACCCCAGGCTCTTGGTGGTCACTTCCTCTACCAACCCCGCAGATCTACCTATACAATATAGGCTCCCTGAGTCTTCTAAAATGACACTGTTGTTCCCACAACATCATGCACCTTCCAAATCTAGGCCTTACCTGGCTCTTCTGCATTCTGCATTCACGTCTGTGTACTCATTTTTATTCCTGACTAGTTGTTGCATAGGTTCCTCAAATTAACACATCCAAATCTGGCTGTATTTTTCCTCCAAACTCTCTCATCTCTTATATTTCTGTGTCAGCATCCCATATGGGAAGCCTGAGCTACACATGGCTTCTTCCACATCTTCATCCCCCACTCTCTATCCTTGAGTGTTTTAAAGTCTCTTGAACCTGACTCCTCTTTTACATTCCCATTTTCATTGTATTAATCCAGACTTTCATCATCTGTTTCTCAGGCCATGCCAGTAGCATCTTGATGAGTCTGTCATCTTGCTCTCATCATCAGTACCATTGCTATAGGCATCATCCTGCATGCCACATAACCCAGTACTACTGTGTCTATGGTTTCCTCTGCCTGAAAAGTCCCCTACATCCTCTGACCCATAGTCCAGCCCCTTCCAGAACCCTCATGGACACTGCTCTGAGCAGCCTCTTCTGTGAAAATATTACCAAACTAGTTGCTCTATTTGCTTCACTTTCTACGGGCCATATTATGGCTTTATTGTCTATTTACCTGTCCACTATTCCAGTGACACACATCTTCAGGAGACTTATTGGTTAACCAGCCCATCAGTCAGCCCATTACTCAAAATGCCCTGCCCAAGGAAACACTTATTGCTGATGGGTTATTCTCCTGACGTTCATTCTCGTGTACTTTGTTTCTAACTGAGCTCTGTCACCCCTCCTCTTCCTTAGCCCTTGTCCTCCAACCTGAGCTTTTGTGGTTGGGAGTCCCAATTCAGGTTGGCCTTCCTGAGGTCTTTCATATTCTATGCCTTCACCCTGCCCCATTTATTTTCCTATTTGTCCATCATCATCAGTCTTTCAACTACCACAGCTTTCATCAGTCAGCTGTAAGACCTAGGAGTTTTAATCTGTGATTTACTTCTGTTCTTTATACTTCATTGAATATTTAATGATAGTACAGACTTGAAATCTTACCAACACATTACAACTTTTGCCTACAGGCAAAACAAATTCTTCATCCAGTAACAAAGGAGTGACATAGCCTATGACCAGAAAATTAATAGCCTGAGTTGAGTCCTCTGAAGATTAAAGATGTATCAAGTCTTCTCTCCTGGAATAAACTGCATTGTTTGATGATGATGTATCTTGTATTGTTTTTAACACCAGAGAACACATTTGAAAAGAACAAAACCGCCTTTCTCTTCCTTTCTTTTTTTCCTTCATGATACGGGGCATTGAACCCAGGGCTTTGCCACTGGTAGGTAGGTAGGTAGGTAGGTAAGTGCACCACCACTGAGGTCCAGCCCCAGATCACAAACTACTTTTTATCAAACCTTATATATCTGCAAAGAAACACACTCTAAATTTAACTTTGCAATTTACCAAATGTAACTCTTAAATCCATTTATTTATTCATTGATCCAGCTAATTATATATTAGAACTTGGGCTATAGAGAATTTTTTAATATTTTATTTTTTTATTTATTACATGTGTGAGTGTATTGCCTGTATGTAGGTGAGTGCACCTGTATCATACAGTGCCCACAGAGGTCAAAAGAGGGCACTGGACCCCCTGGAACTGAAACTATACACAGTTGTTAGCTGCTCTAGGGGTGTTGGGAACTGAACCTAAGTTCTCTGCAAGAGCAGCCGGTGCTCTTAACTGCTGAGCCATCTTTCCAGTCCCAAAAAGAATTCTTATAGTTAACTTTTTAAATGTCTAGGGCGAGACCTCTACTTCTGCAAAATCATATTATAATAATTAAGAGTATATTTCAAAGTAAATTCCACACAGAAAAGTGTAACTAATTTTAGGTACTTATAAGATAGCATAAAATTAGTCTGTAATAAAGCTACATTTGAGCAGCACTGTTGGCATTAGGGCACTAGATCAATTCTACATTAATTTGGAATTAATCCATTTTATAACTGCATGTCTAAAGACTCTGGGAATGATCAGTTACATACTAAAACCTTTGAGCTGAAGTTTACTTTAAATCTGTTGAACATCTAAGTAATCAATATTTAAGCTTCGGATGTCACAAATTATGTGCTCTTTTTTTCAACAAAGATAATAATTACATAATTAAGACTATTCTTTTAGAAAGGTGTGGTGGCACATGCCTATAGTCCCAGCACTCAGGAAGCCAAGGCAAAAGAATCACAAGTTCAAGGCCAGTGTGGGCTATATAGTGAGACCCTGTCTTAACACCCTCCCCCAAAGGACTAATTTTTGACAAGTCATTCAAAAATGTATCGCACCAAGTATAAATATGACTTTTGAATTGCCTTTCAAGATTGATTAAACAACTTACTAAATGAATAAAAATATTTTAAAATCTTAGTTTTGTATTTTTCCAGAAAGGAACTGTGAAGTTATAATCCAGACAAGCCCACATCATGCCCTTCCCTTATATGTTTACATGGACCAGATGGATGTCTGTTTTACTGTCAGTGTTTCTGCTAAGTGAAAGCCTCATGACAACAAAATGAGCTTGTCCTCCGCTTCGTGCTCTTCTGCAGGAAAGGGGTTTGAGAAGTCTGGTGTCTGCTGGCCAGGGAAGAATAAAGAGCTTTCTACTTAGCCACTACCACAGCCATCCAGGCCTGTCTGCCACCAATGCATAGTTCTCACCAGTACTTGCCAAAAGTCAGGACTGAGTGGGGTCTAAAAGTCAAAATATCTTGGAGGAATATTGCATAGCATGGTCCTCTGAGGAATCTCTTCTGTGTCAGCAGGTTAAACGCTAGAATGCTTAAGGAGAGAGATGGGTTTGGTTTTATTATTCCTGTATGTCCTGTTTCACCCAGGGGCTGTTTTCTCAAAGACTTTTTTTAAACACCTGTTAACTTTTTCTTCAGAGCCCACGTGAGGAAGTGCCCCAAAGCTTCAATTACTTCATGTTCTCTGGCAGGCTTGTTGGTGGCCATTTTGCCCACCCAGATTTTCCAATAAACTACTCAAATTGAAACCTCTGTTTTGAACATAAAATCCTTCACAAAATAATCCACACAGTGCTCATTTTCTTTCCTCAAATAAGCAGCAACAGGGGCCAACCTGTCATTTGGAGTAATTCTGTGACCCAATGCTGATAATTAAGTTTGAAGTTCTGGCAAAGCGACTTCAAAACCCACCATCAGGTTCTGAGAACCTGGAGGGAGAAAACTGTGCTTTTGTTAGGCATCAGTATCTCTTGCATGAGGTCCTTTTGCCTTATTGTCTGGAAGCAAGCAAACTGTGTGACTTCAGCAAAGGATGCTTCTGCAGCACAGTAGCCAGCCCTTACAGAACAGCCAAGCAAGCCCTGTGCAGAGCTCTGGCCACATTCTGTGCTTGGCCTTCACAGTCCTATGCAGTGGGCACGCTGTCTTCTACACCTCCCATAAGAGGAAGCTGAGACTTAGAGAGGCCCAGTCACTTGACCAAAGTTAATAAATACAAAGTCAGCTGGGCATAGTGGTGCACACCTTTAATACCAGAGGTAGGAGGAGCTCTGTGAGATAAAGGCCAGCCTGGCCTACATAGTGAGTTCAAAACCAGCTGGGGCTACAGAGAGACCCTTTCTCAAAAATACCAACCAATCCATCAACCAATACAAAGTCAGAGAGGCAGTACTCAAAACAAGGCTGTCCTTCTCTGGAGGGCACGCTATAATACTTCACTGAACTCCTTATGCAGAATCAATACAACTGACTACCAAGGATCAAATCTGTCTACAGGGAACCTTGACAGAGCACAGTCCTGTGAGACAGAGAAACCATTTGAATGGGTGAGCTTTCAAGAAAATAAGAAGATTGGGCTGGAGAGATGGCTCAGTGGTTTAAGAGCACGTACTGCTCCTGCAGAGGACCTGAGTTTGATTCCAGCACCTATGTCAGGCAGCTCACAAGCACCCATAACTCTAGCTCCAGTGCTCCAGATTCAGTGCTCTCTTCTGGCTTCCATGGGCACTCACACATTTACATACCCACACACATACACATAAATAAAAATAAAATAATTTTTTTAAAGAAATAGGGCTAAGCATGGTAGCACATGCCTTTAATCCCAGCACTTGGGAGGCAGAGGCAGGCAGATCTCTGTGAGTTGGAGGTCAGTCTGGTCTACACAGCAAGTCCCAGGCCAGTTGGGGCTACAGGGAGATGCTGTCTCAAAAAAGACCAAAAACATTTAAAAAAACATTTTTTTTTTTTTAAGGAGGAAAAGAAAGATGGGACTGGGGACTGGAGAGATGGTCAGCAGTTAAGAGCACTTGCGGTTCTTCCAGAGGACCCAGGTTCAGTTCCCAGCACCCACATGGTGGCTAACAACCTTTCTTAACTCCAGTTCCAGGGGACCCAAGACTCTCTTCTGGCCTCTGTAGGAATTGCATGCATGTGGTACACTTACATACTTACACTTGTACACATAACATTAAAATAGCAAATAAAATTTAAAAAAATAGTAAAGATAGACTCTGATTGGTGAAATTGACACATCATCCCCTGGACTTCCATTGCCTGCTTTACCACTAAAAACAGGGTGACAGGTGCCTGATGCCGTTAAGTCTAATGAGATTCACGAACCAGTTCAGAAACCCTAAAGTCAATTCAGAAAAATCATCTTGAAGGCTCTTTCTTGGAAAAGACTTCAGGTACCAAAACAATGAATCGGTTTTCTTTTAATTCTGTAAACAAATTGTCACAAACTTCATGACTTAACAAAAATGTATTACCATAATGATTTCCAAGTCAAAGTCTGACCCAGGTTCCCCTGAACTAGGATCAAATCTGGCAGACTGTGCTCCTTGTCAGTCTCCAGGGAGGCGACTGTCACCTTGTCCTTTCAGCTCCTAGTGGTCATCAGCAGTGCTTGGCTGAGCCTTCCCTGAATTGCCAGTCTCCCTGACTGCAATGGGAAGGCCTTCTGCTTGCAGGGATGCACGTGCCTGAATCATATAGGATCATGTCCTATCTCAGGTCCCTAACCTTAACCACAGTGGTGAAGCCCCAGTGCCATGTGCCATAACGTAGTCACATTATCCAGGCTTTAAAGCAAAAGCCTGTTCAGACCAAGTGACATCATGCTGCCTTCTGGGGCGGTATCATTTAACACTCTCCACCCCTGAGCCTCAGTCATCTCGCCCATAAAATGGGGATAATTGTGGCACCTACCTCCTTAAGTGGTTGTGGGGACTTGATGAGTTAATACAAATACAGGCCTGAGAACAGTGCACAGTGGGCTCACTGGAAGAACTGTTGTTATGTTGACCTCACAGAGAGCAGTCAGCAATGCATCTTCTCTGTGGGCACAGCAACCTGTAAAATCACAGCTTCCTCAATACTGATCATTTCAATGAGAAGAAAACATAGAATTGGCATCAGTTCATACCACTTGAATATTTTATCCCTGGGAGCCGTGTGGCCTCTTGGCACAAGATGGAACCAAGAGCCTCTTCAGTGCTTCTGTGGATAATGAGAACTCGTGTTTCATTTATCTGAAGCCACAGAAGTAGAATTTAAGGGGAGAGAACTGGTTACAACTACCTTTATCCTCTGCACCAAAATTAAGAGTGGGCATACATGTAGGTGCTCGCATGCTCCATGTGCTTGTGCAGGGAGAGCCCTCTGTTCCCTAGTAATGACCACAGTGCTATTGCACACAATCTGGTTACATCCAGTGAAAACCTACACCTGAGGGACACTAGGTCAAGAGAGTCTTCCCATTAACAGTTGGTGAGGTATACAGAGACTGGAACACCCAACGTCACAGTGGCCGAAGGGGAAGACAAAGGGACGGTGCTTGAAAAGCTTTTGTAGGGCATAAGCCCCACAGGGAAATAATTGGTTCCATTTACCAGGGGAAGAAAAGTTCAAAGGATGATTTAATCTTCCATATTATATGAAAAGCTTTCTAAATATGGAATGTTCATCCTGCTGCTTCCCTGACCCACAGAGGAGTAAGGGAAAGAAAACAAACCAATAGCAGAACCTTGAACTGAAGCAGAAATTTATGTTATTTAGAGAGGGTTCTGTAAGTAAAATTCAGTCCTAGAAATAATGCAGTCCCAAACCCAGTGATTTTTTTTTAAATAAAGAAAAAAAATTAGTAGTGGTGCTTTTACTCATCCTGTCTGAAAAGTAATCTCCATGTTTATGGTTTCACCATAGGAACACCACCTCTGAGTACAGTAACTGTACCTTGGTTTCAGGTTATCTTAAATGTGACAAAAAAAAATTTTTTGATGAAAAAAAACTGAAAGTTCAAAACTTAAACTAGGCTTTTCTTCACAATAGCAAAATTTTAGACTTTCAGACCTTTATTGAGTGCTGAGTTTATTGGACATCAAGTCTGTGTATTATTTTTCTGCTGCTGTGATAGAGTAACCTGACAAAAGCAGCTTAAGGAAGAAAGTTTATTTTTGGCTGACAGTTCCAAAGGGGACATGTCTATCATGGGGAGAAGGCATGGCTCCGGGAGCATGAGCCTGGCATTCAAGAAGCAGAGTGAGTACATTTCATCTGAACACAGGAAGCAGAAGGAGAACAGGAAGTGGAGCTAGCCTATAAAACTTGAAAGCCCACCCCCAGTGACATATTTCCCTCCAGCAAAGCCCCATCTCCTAGGTTCCATGCCCTTCCCAAACAGCACCACCAGCTGGGGACCTAATATTCAAACACATGGGCCTACGGGGGACATTTCATATTTAAACTACAACAGTCTGTGCAAGTTGTTTAAAATAGATTTAAGGTATAATTTGCTTATGAATTCCACAAATACTTATTGCATGACCAACTACGCGCCAGGCAGATAGAGTGACAAAGAGAACAGGTAAGATTCCCATTTTCGTGGAACTGGCTTCCCCTGTCTTTAGTTGGGAAGAGAGAAGAAACACAGAGCAAATGACCAAGAACTAGACCAGATGATGGTAAGACAGGCTGCAGCAATCCGAAGCCTGAGAGGTGACAGGGTGACTGAGTGGGTCTTTTAGATCAGAGTAATCAAGGAATAGCTCTTAGAGGAGGTGACATTTCACCTGAGCTGAATGACTAGAGGGAATCATTGTGTCGAGATTGGTGAAAGGGCATTCTTGGCAGAACACGATGCAATCTGAGAATGACAAAGAATTGGGGGGTGGGGAGAAGGAAAGGAGAGTAAGAGAGAACAAAGGCCATTGTGGCAGGCACACAGTAGATATCTATGAGGTGACATCTCTTTGTTATCCAGAAGAAAATTTGGTTTTTGATCTAAATGGAATTTATAAAACCATAGGAAACTCAAGCAACGGACTGGCTGCCTCACCCCTTGCATCAACCTGGATGACTCTCATGCACAATTGTTTCTTTCATTCTTTTCCTGAGTCTGACTTTTTAATTTCTTTTGACATAATGATCATGGTTTACACTATGGGCCTCTGCAGTGGGACATGCTACAAGGAATCAAGAGTTGGGGTATTCCCTGTATTAGCACAGCAGGCCTGCTAAGCCAGCACACGGGCAGGAGACGCTTGGGAAAATGACACTGAAGTCGCAGGGAGCCACGTCCGGAAAGCTGGACTGGCGCCACTGGCGGGTAGGTGTTAGTCAAGCTCTGAATCTGGGTGTCTGAGGATCCTGATGGTCCCCCTCATGTAGAGTCAGCCCTGGGAACCTGAGTCACCCCAACCCTCATAAGAACCGTGGCAAAATCAAAAAGATAATCGGGGAATCTTAAACACTGTGTAGAATAACTTACTCTTTTTTATCTTTTTCATTTTTAGATTTTAGAAATATTAGCTTTCTGCATCCTTCTATATTTCCATAAAAGAAAAGGAATGAAGCACATTGTGATTCTGCTAACTCTAGTGGCACTCCTCGGTAAGGGCCTATTTCATGTTCTTAGTCTCTAAGTGAATATGCTGCATCATAGGTTTGAAGGAAAATACTTGGTTGAACACACTGTTCTCTCACTGCTTCTAAGTCTGACCCTCAGGAAAAAAAATCCATATTATACTCTGCATATCCACTTCTCATTTCATACATATTTAATTCTTTTAAAAATATAGTCGAGGTTTTCATATCTTGGTAATTTTATTTATTCTCTGAAAAATTGAGAATTTTTTAAGCAAATAATTGAAAAATAGTAAAAGGAAGAAACTAATGAACTCAGTTGAAACCTTTGGATCAGAACTTATTTAACAAGGTCTATCCTGTTTACATTTTAAAAAATAACTTATATGGTTAACTTATATGAAACACAAATATGTGGAACAAGCGATTGTAAAGCAACTGTACTTGACTGTGTCCTTTTTCCTCTCCCTCCAGCCCCATCTCTCTTGATCTCTCTCACATACTCATATATCAACACTAGGAGAGCTCATTATACATTTGAGAAATTCTCTTTCGAAACTTAACCCTTCTTTTTCTTTGCCCATAAGATGGCCCAAACATGGCGTGCTGTTTGCTATAGCTTTGTAAATTGTACTGATGTCTGTTGAAGCAGGCTGCAGCCCCTGTGTTAATGAGATGCTGGAGTTTTCATCTTTCCATCTCATCAACCTAGTCCTCTCCTTTGAATTGGAAGATTTGTGTTTGTGATCGTTACTTTTAGAAATAAATGTACACTACACCATATGCAGGTATGTTGTTGATCAAGAGAACAGAGGAAACTTTGTATTGTTTCTTCTCAGATTTCCAGATAACCGAGAACAAAAGCAAACAAGAAAAAGGGAAACTATACATAATATTGAAAATAAAGCAAAGTTGAAATAGGAAAATAATAATATACATAAGTTATTAGCATAAATGTAAATGGAATAAGTTAACGTAGCTTTTTAAAAAGATTTTCAAATTGAACTTCAAAGAAATTCTCATACCAGTTTTGAAAAAAAGTTCTAAATTGATTCAGTCCATGTGCATGGGTGCAGCTCTGTGAGAGTTATTAAAATAGCTGCACCCCTGCTAGCTCCCAGAATGGGTCCTTCTGATGCCTCCTCTTCCTCTGGCCCCTACCGCTACCATGTTTAGCACTTAGTACAAATGTAGGCTCCTCCTCCAGGACCAGCTTACCTTCTGACTAATTAGACTAGATACAAAATGTTTTACCTAGAACTATGCAACTCATAAGAGAAAGTCTGAACTGAAAGTAGAAGAAACGGAAAGTAGAAGAAAGTAGGGATCATGATGTTACTACATTAGAATCAAGACAGAAAACACTAAATGTAACAAACAGGAGTCATTTATTCTGATAAGAAGAACCTAAGATACATCATGCCTTTGTGTGCAGTGGAAAATCTTCAGAAAGATGCAAAACTACATTAATAGGAAGATAAGAGGAGTGGAGGGTTCTCTCGCTGATGGAAGAGAAAGACATAAATTTGTTGGGATAGAAGACTTGAATACTTAGTGTTGAACTGGACCCTCTAATACTGAACTCTAACTTCTGAAAACAGTGCTCTTTCTTTCTAGGGATTGTATATCATTTACAAATGTTGATTTTATAACTGGCAACCAAAAAAAAAGTCTGTGATAAATTCCAGGAAGTTGAAATAGAATGAACCACATTCACAATGAAATAAAAATAGAAAATAACAACAATAGAAACCAGTAAAAGCCTGCCACCTGGAAATGTTAACAGTACTCAACTGCAGCTGGGCAAAGCAGAAAGCAAGGTCTAATTGCAGCATGTATATTAAAGATTATTGTGGAAAAATACTTAATATTAAAGCCTACAGTTAGTGACACTGTGTTCCCAGGAAATTATCATCTTAATGTAAGTCAAAGCACATTCAGCTCATAAGTTAGAAAAAAACATGAAGTAAAAATTAAGGAAGACATGATGGCACATGCCTTTAATCTGAGCACTTGAGAGGCAGAGGCAGGTGGATATCTGTGACACTGAGGCCAGCCTGGTCTACATAGCAAGTTCCAAGGCTAGCTGGGGTACAGGGAGACCCCACCTTAAAAAACATAACTGGGGAAGACATAAAGGAGCAATTTATCAGAATAAAGACAAAAGGACTTGAGAGCTGGCTCTGTAGTTAAGAGCACTGGCTGCTCTTGCAGAGAGAACTCAGGTTCAGTTCCCAACACACACATGATGACTTAGCACTGTCTATAACTCCAGCTCCAGGAGATCTGATGCCCTCTTCAGCCTCCAAAGGCATTGCATTCACATGGTGCGCTTATGTACATGCAGGCAAAACACTCATACACATAAAATAAAAATAAATCAATCCAAAATTTTAAATAAAGGCAAAAATCAATGCAATAAAAAACATAAAAGCAATGAGTTGAGAAATGAACCCAAGAAGCAACTCTTAAAAGACAACAAATAAAATATATCCTCCATCAGAAAAAAAAAAAGAACAAATATTCAAAAATAAAGAGTGGAGGGGGCTGGAGAGATGGTTCTTAAGAGCATGCATTTCTCTTGCGGAGGACATGAGTTCAGTTCCCAGCACCCACATCAGGAAGCTCACAATTGCCTGTAACTATAGCTCCAGGGAATCCAACACCCTCTATTGGCTCCACAAGCACCTACTCATGCACATATCCACACACAGACACATAATTTGAAATAAATCTTTGAAAATAAATACAGAGGAGAGATAGGTAAGTGGAAATAAAGACATATACAAATGTGTATTAAAGCATAGACACATTGCTTGTTTTTAAATGAAAATAAGGAAGAAAGTTATTTAAAAGCCATGTCCTAAAAAAAGAACTAAGCCTACACCATTTCCAAGATAATGCCTTCAAACCTAAAGGAACAGATCATTCTAATGTTGGAACCATTTGTGGACATAAGAAGAAAATGTTCCTTTCTAAAACATAATCAGATAATGTTGATCACAAATCTGAAAAAAAATGCTTCATAACCAAGAGATCTAATGAAACTGGATCTTTCCCTTTGTGACACTTAGAATATTTTTCATTTATATTCTACTTAAATGTTTAATACATTGTTATGAGCTTAGTTTGTCAGATTAATCCTGTGAACATAAAAAACATGCCTTTTGTTTGTAGTACATATATTTTACCTGGAGCCAAGCACAGGGAGCATGCAATGAACACTTGACTTAACTAAGAAAAGATGATTAAGAAATCTGTTAAGAGAGGCCAGTGAGATAGCTCAGTGGGTAAAGGTGCTTGTCAACAAGCCTGGCAACCTGAGTTCAATCCCTGGGACCCACACAGTAAAAGGAGAACACTAATTCTTGCCAATTGTCCTCTGACTTACACACACACACACACACACACACACACACAGAGTAAATTATTTAAATTTTTGTAATTTCATATTAAAAAAATAAATCCATTACCTTTTCTAATTTCAATGTATAATGACACATATGTGTAAATGTCATGCTGAGCTGGGCGTGGTGGCACACGCCTTTAATCCCAGGCAGATCTCTGTGAGTTCGAGGCCAGCCTGGTCTCCATAGTGAATCCAGGACAGCTGGGGCTACAGGGAGACCCTGTCTCAAAAAGACCAAAAAAAAAGTCGTCATGCTGAAACTTGTTATTTTGTGTTAATGAGTCAAAGGGAAATACTGAGATGTTGGTCAAGGAGTACAGACTTTGAGTCAGAAGTTGAGCATGTTCTGGGGCCTCAATATACAAAATGGTGATTGCAGCTAACAATGCTGTATTATATAACTAGAATTTTATGACAGTACGTATTAAGTGTTCTCACTATATACACATAAAACGATGGGTGGAAAATGATGGGTGTGGGGCTGAAGAGGTGGCTCAAAAGTGAAGAGCACTGACTGCTCTTGCCAGCTCCCAGAACCCACATGGTGGCTAATAACCATCTGTAACTCCAGTTCCAGGGATCCAACACCCTTTTCTGGCCTCCGTGGGCATTGCATGACACAGGTGCACTTACATACATGCAGGCAAAACACTCATGCACATAAAAATAAATAATTTTTTAAAGTAAAGATGTTAGATGTATTGACCAACCTGAATATGATAATCATTTTGTTACATAATATGTACATCAAATTGTCATGTTGCACACTTAAATTTATACAATGTTATTTTTCAATGATCCCTCAACAAAGCCAGAAAAATAAACAAGAAGGAAATGCCATGTAGTTATTTCAATATATGTTGAAAAGCATGTTAAAATTTTAATATTCAAACCTGCTGAAGAACTGGATGGTGAAATACCAGAAGTGCTCTCATTACAGTAAGAAATGAAAAAAGATAGCCACCCTTCACTGTGCACATCTTGATCTTTGGGTATTTTACAGTAATCATCAGTGACTTTTACAAGAAAAAATGGTTATGAAACTCTTGTAGCAGATTTTAAAATTTTATAGTGTTACATAAAATGGGGAAAGTATCACACAACATACTTCCCTGCACTGTGATGGGAAGCACACATGAGGCAAAGTGGGCACTGAGTGAGAGGGAGCAGGCCTGCAGTGTTTCTTTGTTATTGATCTAATACTGATGGTGTGATAGATCAAAAACTGTCTCTAAAAAATAGAAGCCAGATATGGTGGGACATGCCTGTCATTCCAGTACTTCAGAGATGAAGGCAGGGGTTTAAAGCCAAACTAAGCTATATAATTGAGCTTGAGGCCATCTTGGATAACATGAGACCCTATTTCCAAAAAAATCAGAAAAAGAAAAAGAGAGGGGAAGGGAAGGAAAGCCTCCAGTGAGTAGCTGCATTTGCCTGTGCCTGGTGATGCCATTTCTTTTATACATATATATTTTTCAAATTATAAATTGACATAACAGTACAAATTTATGGAACAGAGATGTTATGATTTATGAACACCATTGGAATAATCAAATGAAGCTAGGTAGCAAATCCATTACCTCAAATAGTGACCTTTTTGTGATGAAAACGTTTAACA